CGACGAAAAACCGAAGGCCGCGTCTGTTCTCGAAGGGGGTTCCCGAGCGCTTGCCGCGGGCGGGGAGAGGGTCCCCGCACTGCTTGCCTCCCCGTCCCGCGCGGGGCGCTGCCGCCGTCTCCCCGCTAACCCGGCCTTTCTCTTCCCGTTGGCTAGGTCGAGCTGGGAGCTGCCCGACCTGCGAGAAGGACGAGTGAAAGCCATCAGCGATTCGGATGGTGTGAGCTACCCCTGGTATGGAAACACCACAGAAACCGTCACCCTGGTGGGGCCCACTAACAAGATCTCCAGGTTCTCAGTGAGCATGAATGACAATTTCTACCCCAGCGTGACGTGGGCTGTCCCTGTGAGCAACAGTAACGTGCCGCTGCTGACCAGGATTAAAAGGGACCAGAGCTTTACCACGTGGCTGGTGGCCATGAACACCACCACCAAGGAAAAAATCATCTTGCAGACTATAAAGTGGAGGATGCGAGTGGACATTGAGGTTGATCCCATGCAGCTGCTGGGGCAGCGGGCGCGGCTGGTGGGAAGGACTCAGCAGGAGCAGCCCCAGATCCTCAGCAGGATGGAGCCCATCCCACCAAACGCACTAGTGAAACCCAACGCCAACGATGCCCAAGTCCTCATGTGGAGACCCAAGCGTGGCCAGCCCATAGTCGTGATACCTCCCAAGTAGAGCGGCGCCGGTGGGCGCGCGCGAGGAGCTGGGTGCTGTCGGCCTGCTGCAAACGAACGGGGTTTCTGAGCCAAAGCAGACCTCTTGGGTTCTCCTGCCCTCGTGGCTGTGGTTGGAAACGTGGCTTCTCCTTAGGAAGAGAGCCTGGCTGGCACGGGGGCTCGGAAGAGGGATCGCTGAGCTGGAGGATTTCCCAGGAAGCAGAATCGAGCACTTCTAGGGGCTTGCGGCTGGCAAAGCGGCTGCCTGACCTAAACGACTCGTCTTTCATTGCAGGGCGATGCAAGGAGCGTGAGCGCGATCGAGCCGTGCCTGTGGCAAACGCTGCTCTCCACCCGGCTGGGGGG